GATTAAACAATAGATAAAAAGACATGCATATATTATGGAGTAATATATAATGATTCATAAAAGTATGGAACTTTTTTTTTTTTAAAGATGTAAAATTGTGCGTTGTCTATTTTTTACAATTCCATTTTACTATACCTCTTTAAAAAATTTGGAGTTAACAGTGTTTTTTAAAGCTCGACAACAAAAAAAATCGGTGAGAAAGAGAAGATAAAGAATTTTTTTTCCAAAGCAATCGATTTTTAGTGAACACTCTTTATTAAAAAATTGTTTGGAGACTCTCCTTGCTAGCCCTTCAGAAGAAAGGGTATACTACCACCTCTACAAACCCCAAGTTACTTGATCAATAAATAATAAGTCGATTATCAATGATGTCTGATCTTTTTAATCAAAGATCGGTTCCAAGAAATTTGGTTCCACAAATCAAAATAAAATTATTTTTAATACACAATTGTACTTATAGTACTATTATTTCACCAAAACAAATATTATACTTTGAACTCCAAAAAGTTCCTCTTAGTATATAAAATTTTTCTAATTTTTATGGAGTATGCTCTTCCACATAATTAATTACGAGGGAGATAATGTTTAACTTTGTACTATAAAATTTTGTTAGTTTTAGGGATGAACTATGTACAGATCTGTGTCTATCAGAATCCGGAAATTAATTATATATGAAATAACTGAAGACTATTTTGAACAACCAATAATCAAATATCCATTGACATATCAAGCCCTATATTTTTTTTATGGAAGAAATAACTAACTTCCTGACAAAAGAATGTAAGTATCTAAGACAATCTAGATATCTATCTAGTTAAACTATTTTAGTGATGCATGATAGTTTAGTGGTCATAGTAATATAGGTTTAGGATTGATATTAATTTTGTTAGACACATCTTAACGTTGACAACTATGAAATTCAGACAATGCCTTGAACTTTTTGGAAATTAAGAAGAGATTCGTTTGATCAATTGGTCTTATATTATAAGAATAAGATGTAATGTATTTTTTCTCTTATATAACGTATAATTTTTTTTAACAATAATTATTAAATGTATAGTTGAAGGCACATTACCATGCACATGTCATGGTTCATCGCATTTTTCTATTGTTATAACAAAATATTAAAGTTTAATTGGTATAACATAGATTAAGCTGAATTAAGATAATTAGGTTATAAATAGAATATTTAGAATATAAACTTGGGCCGTAATACTCTGCGAAACTTAAAATAGTTTAAATTAGATTCGGCTTTGATGATAAAATATCTTCAAAAGAGGTAAAGGTGTTAAAACATTGAAGGAGATTGATAGATCGCATGCTGTCTTTTTTGAGAACCTGAAAGAACAAAACCCTTAAGAGCTCAGAGAGCTAGCCTACCAAATATATCTCTCTTTCCTCTATGGCTCTATCTCTTCTCTCATCGATCTCCGTTTCCATGATCCAACGGCTCTGCTCAGCTCGCTTTTCAAGAACACAGAGCAAAAGAAAACTTAGTCAAACATTATAATATTATCGATGAGATAAAGAACAGTGGTCAAACCACCTCTGATTTGCGCTGTTCTCTTCTTCTTTTTTTCTTTTCTTTTTCAACTTTTAATTTCGTTAGTCTAGTGGTTAATTGGTTATCAACAATAACCATTAATTCAATAATGGTAATAGAGCTGATGATAATAAAAAAAACTATAATCGTAGAATGGCATTAAATTTTATAATGCTATTATAACACACTTTAAAGAATATATTATTTATTATTATTTAATAAGAGTAAAATAGATAAAGTGTTTTAAATTTTACATCGGAAACACAAAACTGTTATCTTTTTGGGACAAATTTTTTTTCCAAAAAAATCATCTTTGTGGGACGGAGTGAATATAATTAACTGTAAAGTATTTGTTAATTTCCATGTTTTTTCATTTACGTGTTAATGCATTAACAGATTGCATATACATGTTTATGTGCGACCGGTGTACTATTATAAAAGAAACTGAAGTATATAACGCCAATAAATGAGCAAAGTCACGATTTTACATAATTATGATATTGTAAAATCCAAAAATCGTAACATTTCCTTACTATTATATCATTCGTGATCATCAAATTTAGAACTATCCTCTCCCAGGATTAGTCCTAGACCTTTCCATATGTTTGGAGATTTATCTTGAGTTATCAAAAAAAAAAAAAATCAAATTTAGAACTATCATTGTACGTCACTCCAGAAAAAGGAAATTCAAATCATATTGTCCTATGCATATTGATAAACTGATTTCGGTATCATTTTTTTTTTGGGTGTATTTCATGCGTTCGAATTAACGTTTTGATTAATGGACTGATGACCCGATTTGGTAAGAAATGAAAAAGTTGGCAAAAGCTTCTTTTTTTTTTGAGCCTGAAAAGCAAACCCCAAGACTGAGAGAAGTGATGCAAACTATAAAGTCGTCATGTAAAAATGAAGAGTACAATTCATTTGTGTACCGTTTCTTTCTCTGCATACTTACCGTTAAACTAACCAATAGTAATATTTCATTTTTTTTTCCGACACAATAGTAATATTATTTACTAATTTGTTACTCAAAAGAAAACAAATGCGATTGGCGAAAAACAAATACAAATGACTTTTTTGGCATGTGATGGTACAGTATCCATGGATGTCTCTATACGACATACGAGTAAGGGGAAACTCTCAAATTTCAAACTATCACTTCTCTTCATTTGATTTCATCCCGTCTGTGTAGATTTTTTTGGTCCTTTCTAATATATACATGAGACATATGAAGTTTCTTATTAAAAAAAAAGAAAAAAGACATGAATTATATCCTCGTTTATCAAAAAAAGAGAGAGAGATTTCTCCTCACATCCATATAATTTTCATTATTGTGCTCTTTTGTGCACACTAATATACAATGCTTTGCTTGTTTTGGAATGTTGTAGTTTAAACGAGGTGTAACTAATGGAAAACACATAATTTGGTCACAAACCAATTGTTATCTTTGGTAACTATGACTCCTCTATTTATGATCTCTTTCAGATCGATCCAGATCTCTTTCAGATCGATCCAGATGGTAGATAATCTGTAAAACGTAAATCATTTTTCTTTGTGCATATATAAAATCGTATTCGACTTTGTATACTGTGATATTGAAAAATACGTTTCTAACTAATATGCATTGACCAAATCTTATATGTGTTAGAAAATAGGGTGTTATAGATCATAATCTGATACCATATAAAAAGCTACTAAATATAGTAGATCAATTTTGTTTTTCCTTAGATCATTTAGCTTAAGAAATTGATATATACAAATATAAATTGATGGGCCAATTTTAAATTTTAAAAATAAAGATGGATTGTCTCTTTGTGTGTGGGGGTCCTCAATGATCTGTAAAATCTGATGAGAAGGAATTGAATAAGTTTGGCAATACTAAGGTGGGGATGTTTTCTTCCTTTGCCATTCTAAACCTATCCCTTCTCTTATAGATCTCTGACCTCCTCTCCCTCTGCATCACTTCCTATCTCTCAATCATGGATCATTTCTTTCTCTGTCCTATGGGAGGATTATTATTGATGAATCACATGCAGTTGAAAGGATCACGAGTTACATTTAGTATACTAAGGTTTCAAGAGATCTTATATTTGTTATGCCAATTGACTCAACTTTGATTATCATGAAATAAAACCTATGAATCAGTGTTAGACTTATTTGATCTTTAGCAATTCCATCATGCTATATGATTGATGGCTTGTCACAACACAATCTCTAATTTTAGGTACTAACTAATACTACTCGTAGTGGAATTTTAAGAAGATAATGACTTTTATTTGAAAGATAAACACTATTTGTCATTTCTATTTGAGTTTTTTTTTTTTTTTTGGTTTTATGACGTTTTTCACTTAATGCTAATTGACTTTTTTTTTGTTTCTCAGTTTTTTTTTTCTTTTGTCAATATATATACATATACATTTGTCAATAGATGCTAGTTAGCTATTCATTTTAAATAAGAGAATGTTGTATACCTTTTTAAGTTTATTCAATCAATATTTATCCTAAACTGGTTTTCGACTGATACGATTTAAAAATCTAGTAAAAATTCATAAAGCTGAAAATTATCTAACCTTTTTAGTAATTCTTTAATACAGTAGATTTTTAATTTAACGGGGTACATATGAAAAGAACATGAGAAATCCAAATGTTGACTTTGTTTTTTCTTTTTCTATAATAGAGCATTGATGAGATCTAGGAAACCCTAGATTTGAAAAGACAACAAGTAAAAGGATCTTATTTGTTTCAATTATTATCATGATTTGTGTGGCTCTCACTCTCCAATATTTATATAAATTATTAGGGTTTAATTTTTTAATTTTCTGTGTCTCTCTAGTGGGGTAAGGAAATTACAGATAGGGTTTGTTCTGAATGGGGCCGTCCAGTACCATTCCACATACACACAGTTTGTCTCATGTGTTTGGTTTCGTATGGGTGTCATGGACTCACGTGAACCTCTAAATTAATTAATCATACATATACATATATTTTCAACTTTCTTTATGTAAATAAACACCATTTACTTGATGTCAAAAAAAATAAAAAATAAACACCATTTACTATTACTGATCAGCTCAGTTATTGATTTGTATCCATTTTCTTAAATCAATCCAAGAAAACACACCAAACTGTCTTTACTCATCAAAGATCACTGGATCGAATCGCATGTCCGCTATAGCATATACAAAGAAAATCATGGATTTAATTTGAATCTCATAATACTTTATGGTCATTTGAAAAAATAGAAGTCTAATTAGAAAAGAACATATAAAAGGACAAATTTTTTTTTTAAATCATTGGTATGACATTCGGACTTGTCTGAAAGTAGGATTTAAAAACAGTATTTTTATCCATATCTTCTAAAATTCACTGTACAAGTTGATGTATACATAGACATAAGTACCCTAACTCTAGACTCACGTAAACCATTTATTAAACTGATATAAATATATTATATGTATATAATAGAAACCATGTGTGTTTGGCTCGTGTCTCATCTCATTGCCTTTAAAAAGGATCAAACATAGTATAGCTTGGACTCTTTTTGCCGTCTATGATCTCTCTCAATCTCTCATCTTAGCTATCTTTCTCTCGTTGTGTCTTCATTTCTTTATCTCATCAATGGATTCGAATTTTCATTACTCTATAGATCTTAACGAAGATCAAAACCATCACGAACAGCCCTTTTTCTATCCTCTTGGATCCTCTTCGTCTCTTCTTCATCATCATCATCATCAAGTCCCTTCTAATTCTTCATCTTCTTCTTCGTCCATTTCGTCTCTTTCCTCTTACCTCCCTTTCTTGATCAACTCTCAAGAAGATCAACATGTTGCCTACAACAATACTTATCATGCTAATCATCTCCATCTTTCTCAACCCCTCAAGGTATATTTATTATTATATATCAACCTTAATTGTGTGTATAAATGTTATTCTTATACAATTTTTCTTTATTCGTTTAGCAGTTAAAATTATGCCTGATCATGTAAAATTCATACAACAATATAAGTTTCAGAATTTGTATTTAGAAAACTTTACATAGAAGAAATTTAATTTATCAAATAATGATATGAAATTTAATTTTATCTTAGGAAGCGGCCATATCATTATTATATCCAATTTTCATCTCTTGTTGATTATAAACCTTGATCGTTTATATATACCAGGCTAAGATGTTTCTGGCTACTGGTGGATCATCATCATGCGATCACATGGTGCCAAAGAAGGAGACAAGACTGAAACTAACGATAAGGAAAAAAGATCACGAAGACCAAACCCATCCTCTTCATCAAAACCCGACAAAACCCGATTCAGACTCCGACAAGTGGTTGATGTCCCCAAAGATGCGGTTGATCAAGAAAACAATCACAAACAATAAACAGCTCACTGATCAGAGTAATAATAATAATCATAAAGAAAGTGATCACTACCCTTTGAATCATAAGACTAATTTTGACGAAGATCACGATGAAGATCTTAGTTTCAAGAAAGTCTTGACCAGGACGACCACGGCCGCGACCACCAAAAATCGCTACAATACAATCAACGAGAATGGTTATGGTAATAACAATGGCGTGATTAGGGTTTGCTCGGACTGTAACACCACCAAGACTCCTCTTTGGCGTAGTGGACCTCGAGGTCCCAAGGTAGATTACTTCACTCGAGGTTTTCTTGATATATGTCATACTAAGTTTAATTCACATTTTTGAAATAAATAGTTATATGTTACTAACGTGGATATATTTGACTTATTATTTAAAACTGAAGCATCCTTTAAACATTAATGCTTTAATCAATGATACGCATGAGTCCAACATTCTATGAATTTTTCAATTTTTTGTCATCTACATTTCACATACTAATTTCATTTATTATATATTGCAGTCTCTTTGTAACGCATGTGGCATAAGGCAAAGAAAGGCGAGGCGAGCCGCTATGGCCGCGGCCGCAGCTGCCGGCGACCAAGAGGTGGTGGTAGCGTCCCGATCGTCACAATTACTGCTGAAAAAGAAGTTGCAAAACAAGAAAAAGAGATCAAACGGAGGGGAAAAATACAATCTCTCTCCTCCGGTGGTGGCCAAGGCAAAAAAGTGCAAGATCAGAGAGGAAGATGAGGTGGACATGGAGGCGGAAACGATGATTGCCAGAGATTTAGAGATCAGCAAATCAACAACCTCTTCTAATTCTTCGATTTCGTCGAACAAACTTTGCTTCGATGATTTGACAATAATGTTGAGCAAAAGCTCAGCTTATCAACAAGTGTTCCCACAAGATGAGAAGGAGGCTGCTGTTTTGCTCATGGCTCTGTCGTATGGAATGGTTCACGGTTGATCAGATAATCACAATATCCTGATTACAAGAAAGGTTTATTTTTATAGTTATATATAGACTATAGTAATCATAATAATGATTGATTGTTAAATCTTGGAGTGATTAATTTAGTTTTTGCAGTTGGTCTAATATCAGGAGTCAGAAAAACATTTTTATAATAAGATTGTGTGAGAGTTTAATATGATAATTAATAGTTCTATATATGTTTATGGAGATTTTGGTTTAGAGTTTATGTTGGTTTTTTTTTTTTTTTTTTTTTTTTTTTTTTTTTTTTTTTTTTTTTGCGATGGAACATTAATCACCCGATAATGTGGGTATCCTTGTTCATTTACATCTTTTGTATTGTGTAACGAGATTTGAAGAATAATATAATAAATTAAAAGTAATTTTATTTATCTGTTTATTTTAATACATATCATCACAATTTAGCTCAATCATAAATGGATGACCGGCTTTAAAAATGTATGCCTAGTATTATTTGGTATCACTCAAGTATATATTTTGAAGCTCATATTAATTATCTGATTTTCTTAGAAGTGCTTTAGAATTGAATATATTGGATTTAATTGCTTGTGAAGATATACTGAACACAAGATATATATAAAAGGATGAGGGCAAAGATGGTTGATATTGGATAATATGAATGCGTATATAAGACAAGAGATCATGTGTGAAGAAGATAATACGTTTGTGTTGCATTTTAAGGCAACGACATCAACTTAAAAGAAGAGATCTTCAAAATTTTGCAAGCCCACATATTATATTTTCTTCTAGTTTTTTGAGTAAATTATCTAACTAATAAAGCCCTAAGAAATTATCTAATAATCTAATAATTTCTTTCATACGTAAAAAAAAAAACAGATATCGGGTTGACCTAAGCTGAATCAATTCACATCAAGAACTGCTTTTTCTTTTCTGCTACATTAGTATTTAGGGTCATGAGTAGCTAGTACAGTACTTTGAGACGCCAATCATGGATGGATGATTATGTATATAAAAAAGGTTATAAACATATCAAAAATGTAAAATGTGAAATCTAATTATTTAGCATTAACCATTGATAATTCTCACTATACACTAATTTAATATTAAAACCCTTATGAATGAGTCACTTTTATCTATTATGAGTAATATTAATTCCTATTGTACATAACTTATTTGCTTCTAAATATCACTATATCCAAAAAAAATAAGTTTTGACAACTGCTGATCAATCGATGTGGCTAGTGGCTAGCGTTAGCAACCCGAAAAAGCAGTGTATTTCTGTTGCTTTAAAGTTTAAACACAAAATTGCAGAAAATAATGATGCCAATGTTTATGAAAAAACGCAGCGGCAATTTAAGAACCATAATTGATCACTTAAAATTTCAGCAATAGTTGGGATTCGTTTTGGCGAATGGCGACTCCTTTAAGTGTTGCGGCGTGACGATTTTTAATCTCACCACCTTCGTCCGCGTCGTCTTATTTCTTGTCGTTCAACAATCATGCACCGAACCGGCCATATTAACTACTTTTACTTTTAAATATCAGTTTGGTCTAGTATTATTTAGTTTCATGACTAATCTATTTTTGTTACTGCAAATTAAATCAGATTTACATATATTACACACACACACACGTGAACATTGATCCAATAGATGACAAGCATACTAAACAAAGCATGCACTTAGAGAATGTTAACTATTGTATCATAGAATATAAGATATTTAACAAAAACCTAATCTTAAAAAAAAAAAAAACTAATCTATTAACCCTTGTTTGAAAAATCGCTAGGCGCTAGTCGGGCGCTCGGCATGGGCCTAGCGATTAATCGGAAAATCGGATTAAAATCGGGGATTAATCGGGGATTAGTTTTAGGGTTATTTTAATATTTTTAAAATATATTATTCCAATATTGTAAAAATTTATGATTTTTATTAAAATTTGAACACAAGTTATTGTAAAACATCACAAACTCCCTATTCAAATGATTGAATAACAAAAATAAAAAGTTTTTTTATACTTGCAATCTAAAAAATAATCGGGGTATATAAGATTAGGTGAAAAATAATCGGATTAGGCGGAAAGTAATCGGATTAGGCGGAGAATAATCGGGTTACTGATTTTTTAGGGGATTAGTCATTAATCGAGGCGGATAGGGTGGATCTAGCGATTAAGCGGAGAGTAATCGGGGCTAGACGGTAATTTTTAGAACGGGGCTATTAACTAATGTATAATGGAATGAGGCAAAAAGCAAAAAATTGGCATTTAGAGAATGTTCGTTTAGAGTAATTAATTACACTCATCAAGAGAAACAGTGATGGGGACGTCCCTCTCAATTCCCTCCACATTCAAAATCTAATTCCAACCACAAACTTATATTTCCATCTAATCCTCCATTTTTTTCCCCTCACTATTTCTCTTCTTCCATACAATAAAATTCCACTAAAAAAAAAAATCCTTGAATACCAAATTTAACCAATCGAATTTTCAATCTTGCGTTCGTATACCTCTGACAAATGCCAGGAACTATACAAGTTTCAGGTAACAGAAAAAAAAGGAAGAAACTTTCGATTTCGGGCATTGTCCTATTAGCACATTAAGCACTAACTGAACTTTGTCTTGTTCGAATCCACAGTTCTGGGTCTTATTGATGTTCACACAGCTTCTTCAAACACTTCCATTAAAGGTATTAATGTTACTCTGTTCCTCAAATCTGTTTTAACTTGATAAAGTTCAAATTTTTAATTTACTTGTCTTCTTGTATTAGTTTCTATGGGGAAGCTAGAGTATCGAACTTCAGATTCAGGAGACTACATTTTGTAATTACTCTACTGATCCTTTTGAATTTCTAAAGTTTGGAACTTTTTGAGAAATTTTGACACTTTCTTGTTTCTTGGATTCAATGTGGCACAGTCCAGTTACGAGGCTCCGAGAAAATTTGATCGTTACCCTGTTAGATGTCAATGGAAACCAGATATTACAGAAAGGTGTGTTCTTTTTATAACTCTAGAGATCAAATTGGTGGTTTTATTAGATTTTTCTGAATTTGAGGGTTTTTGGAGGTAGAGATAGAGACAAGAATGATAATAGAGAATGGTTTCTTGGAAGAGAAACTTTCATTCAATGGCTATGGAAATGTACAATTGAAAATGGAGTTTGTTCTCAGTGAAGAAGATCGAAATCGCATACGTTTCCTGGTAAAACATATTCACTACCTTGTTCATTGAGCTCTAGAAGATTCCAATCTTGATGAATCCAATTGTGTTTTGATTTCTTTGAAAGAGACAATCGGCATTGCGAAAGAAGCACGAGGAGCTTGTTAATGGCAGTTCTTTTACCAAATCTAAAAGCATTGCTTCAGGTTAATCAATGAAAAGGAATAAGAATTTTTCATTTTTTGTTTATGTTGGTAAGTTGTGTTTCTAAATGTTTGTTTGTTTTTTTCCGGCCTTTCTTGCTCTTGATGTGATGAGAGATTTGTCTTCTTTAAGTTCAATGCATACCCGAGACATCGTCGCTGTTGCTAATAATCCAAACACAAATCTTGGTCTGTCTCAAGAAACCGAGCTTAAAGTAATGATTAGTAGTCATATTGATACAGTTTTGTTTATACAAAATTCAAAATATTTTGTCTTTGGTCACTGATTTTTCCACCTGATGTAGAATAATGCAGATAGAGATACGGTTTCGTCAAATCTTATAATATGGAAGCCTGAAGTAAAAGATAGAGTTGAGAAGACGAAAATTCATCTATCTTCATCAGATGTTTCTTCAAGCAAGAAGCTTCCGGAGGTTAAAAAAACTGCAAGTGTATCGTTAGTGAGGCAAGAAGATAAGGGTTTGAGCAAACCAAGCAAGAAACTCCATGAGGTTAAAACCCCGGAGAGAGTATTGTTAGTGAAACAAGAAGATAAGGGATTGAGCAAATCAAGCAAGAAGCTTACGGAGGCTAAAAACTCCGAGGGTGTATCGTTAGTGAAGCAAGAAGATCCAGCTTTGAGCAAACCGGAAAGAAATCCTAAACGGAAGTCAATGAGGCGGAGTATGTCAGATACAAGTTTGAACAATGTGCGGAAAATGATTAGCAACTTTGAGGTCAAAGTTACTCAGGTAATTTCAAAGGGTTTTGAGTATGAGTCTCTGTGATCAAGATGTTTTTCACAACGTTTTGACTAAGATTCTCTAGATCTTTTGACAGGATACCAAAGTTCGGACAGCGAAGATTCAAACTGGTTCTTGTAAAGATACGGAGGAGAAAACTAAGGCGCAACCACAAGCGGAAAGCACTGTGAATATAGAGAAACCGGAAGAAAGGAAGATCATAAGCTTTGAGAATATGGAGATGTCAGTGTGTAGAGATAAAAGAGATAGATGTGATGATTTAGTAATAGTTCCAGGAGATGAAAGGTCAATAGTTATAGAGGAGAAGAGTCTTGAACAGAGCATTAGAAGAAGTGACTTTTTAAGTACGCAAAGACGAAGTTCGGTGGTGAAAGTAAGGGATGATGAGAAGACACCACACAAATCTGTGTGTTTGAAAGATTCTCAAATTGAGAATGCACGAGGATCTCGTCTCTGGATATTTCCAGATGAGGCAAAAGATTTGTCTTGCGAAACAGATATAGGAACAAGACATTTGGATTTAGCAGAAGCAAATTTGTTACAAAAAAGGATAGAAGAGTCTACTAGGGACGACATCGGTGAGGTACAAAAGCAGTAGTCTTTGGCGGTTTTTACAATCTTTGTATGATATATTTCAAATTCTGCGTTTATCCGAAACATTTTCAGAGGGGATTCCGCTCCATAAACATCGCGAAAATAGATAGTAACAACAAGTGGAAGAACATAGAGCGATCGAAGAAACAAAAGTCGGAGAATTCTGCAGAGTCAGAAAGTTCAGGACGACCTGTTGGACAAGTGAGTTTATCAACCAACATGCTTCAAGGCTTATTGATTAATCGAAATCTTTTCATCATATTGCCGTAATTTGCAGGTGATGCGTGCGTTGATCGTGGCGGGTTTTGCAGGGTTAGTGTTTTTGACACGACAAAGAACTTAAACAGGTTTGTGTTTTGCATAAAAATGAAGCCTTTTTGAATTCTGTTTTGTTTCTTGTCACGGAAGGAACTAAGAGTAAAGTAGGTTTCTTGTGGTATAAGCTTTCCATGATATTTCCTTCCTTCTTTGATGCAGATGAGTTAAAGCTTCATTTGAGATCGTTTATATTGGATCAATTCTTTCAAAACCAGTCTCTTATACATGTATTATTGCACATAATAATAGTTTTCAATAATATGCTTATAGGCCATTATAAAAAATAAAGCTTTAAAGCCTACAAAGATTGATAAGACTTCTAAAAACAGTACTTCTAAAACCAGACTTCTAAATGTATTATTGCACATAACAGTTTTCAATCAATTAATTTTTTTTTTTTTAAATAGTTTTAAATTCAAGATTTAAGCTTGATGATTACACACAGTTGAAAAAATAGTCATGGTTAATGGTGCTTTTCTTTTCTTTTTCCAAATTCTTCTGGATGCCAAATTGATGAAACAGAAACATTTGTTAAATGTGAGACACACGCATACATACATAAAGGGTTTGTTCCAAAATTAGTAAAATGAATAAGGATCCTAGATTAAAAAAAAAAGTAAATTTAATTGGTCTGGTTACTGAGCCCAAATTCGTATATAAGCCCGGTCCATACTTATAAAGAGGCCCATTTAAATTTTGCTATTGATATTGCATGCCATCTATATCGTTTCTAGATTTTTATTTTCATTTTATCAAATATGTTCTTTAGCTTTGCAATGTGAAAATTTATCAATAATTTTAATTTTTTTTTTAGTTTATTAATATGACTATATGAGAGAAGATTTAAAAACCATAGTGTATATGCATGAGTCATAAAGAAACAGTCGAGCAAAGAGCAAAGACTATAGTCTAATACAGTAAATACTACCATGCTAAGGAAGATACAGAGCAGGCTATCAAGATATTAGGGCCACAAGCTCATTTTTTTTTTGGGCCTATTACACATTACTTTTTTGAAAAAGACTTGAAAAATAGAAAAAACTAAAATGGGGATTTGATCCCCTTGGAATTACAGCTCTCCGTCTTTGCTAGTGGAACCAATGAAACTTTCAGATAAAATGGCCGAATATCAAGTATATAATTTGGAGGCCACAAGCACATGCTTCATCTGCCTGTGTGAAGGGCCGGCTCTGGGAAGATAACATCTTTGTTCAAGCTTTACTTGCAGTCTAATACTCTCTTTTACACATATGAAAATAACATTCATACTGATACATAGACAAGAGTAATTCTTAGTCATATCTGGCGGTAGTTAGAACCGAAGTTCAATGCTATAAATAGTTTTTAAAAGAAATGATAACTTGATAATGATGAATTCATTCATTCAAAAAAAGAAAATGATGAATTCAACAACTAACTAGTCCGAAAGGTAAATTAATACATTCTCCTAAGAGACAGGCGCCATAATTATCCTTCTTTGTCTCTCTCGATCTAGGTCACATGTTGGAGTCTCATTCGACGTCTTTCTTTTTTCTTTTTTTTTACAAAAAGTCTCATTCGCAATTTCTACCATTATAACTTACAAATATTAATTCATATAATCTCCAAATGAAATCTATAAAAAGCTAACTCTTCAAGTTATCAAATTTTTTTGTGTATCAGTAGAAAACAGTTTGTGTAGAAATTTAGTCCCTACAAAACTAATACATCTAGGAAATAGCTTATATATAAACAAAATGATCTATTGGATAACTTGTATAAGAGAAACCAAACATATGTCGAAACAAAATCTAGATAGGATATTTTATTGGCATTAATTTTATCGACCACATGATTTTGGATCTTTGAAAAGATATATAGACTGTTGGTTTATTTTCGAGTAAAAATCAAATAATTTGAAACCTCATATATTTTAGTCATTGATAAGCATAGGACCCGCCTAAAGGGGTTGGGTGAAATGTCTTTGTAACTTAAAAGTGATTATTGGTGTATTGATATGATAACATCATATTTTGGTGGTTTTAGGTGAGGATTTTTCAAATTTCGTCTTTTTATTTTGTGGTTTTTGTTAAGTCATGAGTTTCTGACTTAAAAAAACAATTATTTATTAGTAGATTAAGTTTTTCTTATATCATTTGCGTCGACAAGCTCATAGCATAATCTTTACTACGTACGTAGGATGATATGACTTATTATTGTCGATTTAAAAACTTATGTTGAAAATACAAAATAATAATTTTTGTAAAACAAAATAATGTCTTACAACGATTTTTTTTGTAAAATATAGAAAGTATATATCAAAATCATTAATAATATAATACCTTGTCGTCCAGTTAGTTATTTTGGGTCATTACCAATAGTAGTGTCATTATTAGACAACTTGCACTAAATATAGAAATGTTTAAAATGTGAACTACTTTTTGTTTCTTTTTTCTTTTTCGCCAACAACAAAATTATAACAATTCTGAGAAAGACCCTTAGTTTTGTGTTAAAGTGGATTCAATGTTAAATATTATTGAGCTCTTGTGGATCCAATATCGGTTCTTAAAGTTATCTTTACACTATGTTTGAAACTCGTGTTTATTGTTTTATCATCAACAGAAGACTAAGATAAATGATACATATATATTCTAAATATCGCATTTAGAAATGTTGATCAAGCATTCTAAATTTTGAAAGCCAATACTATAAGTTATGATGTTAGAACTTAGAAGGAATAATAATTAAAAAAACGAATATTGAAAAATTTAATGAACTAGAAAACAACAAACTTCAAACAAGTTGTACTATATACAAAATTGTCTTAGAGCATGATTATCAAGAGTTTCTTAACAATGACTCTTAGGAATAATGGCTCTTAACTAAGACACCTTTCTTAGTATTTTACATGCTTATCATTAATTTTTGATCTAAGATTTTGTTAAGAACTCTTTAAGAGCACACCATTAATAGTGGTCTTACCCGTTCTATTGTAAGAAACTTTCTTTTTAAAAGTATAATAGGAATATTGAAACTTTTATGAGCGCTAGAAACATACCCTAAATATAATAGTTTTGCCGAGATAAATCATAAATTTACAGAAATAAGTATGGATCCAAGAAAAAAATCTCACACTGAAAAAACCAAAAAAATATTCAGGAAATTATCAAAGTAACTAACGTTGGATCAAAATCAAATTAGATAGGATCGATAATATATTATATATGTAAACATTTGAATTATACTAATGAAACTCATAACGTGTTATATATATTCACGTAACGCTAATAGGTCTAATATTCGATTCAGGAGATTGAATGGACGCAAGCTTCAGCTCAAGATCGAGTCCGCCACCGGAGTTACCCGACCCGGATACTGTCACTTTCGGATCTGGATATCCAAGACGAGGATTGAGTAATCCTTGTTTCCAAACAACCTTTGAGGTCGACCCAATATGATCATTACATATACTCTTAATAGTACTATTTTCTTCAACATTGCCGGCCGAAACCTGTTGAATATATAAATTTGACAATTCAAAATCATTTTTCACCATCTGATTCAGCAAGAAATTATATGTTCATATATATATATATATATATATATATTTAATATACAATAAAGCTTAGATTAAATTTAAAATCTTGACTTTTTGGTTTATAAAATTCCGATATTTTAAGTGCTAAACAACTTGGGAATTTTTTTTTTTTAAAACGACATAAAAATTCTGTTTGAACTTTTGAAGATGTGACTTTTGTTGGATATATATTTTCTTTGAAAAACATTTTGATTTTTTAATATAAAAGTTTCATACAAAGAGTTTAAATTCTTTTTTTCATGCATGTATAGAGAAAAGATTGGAACTTGCCATATCAAAGAGGCTGGTGCGGCGTCTCTTGTGATGGAGAGTGGTGGTTTGCCGGAGAAAGTACTTTTGAGCATGACTTGCCACTTGTGTCGGGGATTTTGTGACGACGTAGTTTCTAGAGATTCCTCTCCAATCTCCTTTTCCAAGCTTCTCTAATCCAACTAGAAACGTCCGGTGCTCTTCCTCCGTCCATGGAACCCCTAATTACACAAAATAAATAAATATTATTTTTTGAGAAAAACTGAACAAAATCCAAGCCTAAAGATCGCGTTAACACATCATTTTCTTGCCACTCTAAATCATCATATATATAGATATAGCGGTTGCATGCTTTAGGAAATGTTCCGACTTGGCAAGACTCTAGACGTACGTGTACAACCTTTATGTCAAAACCAATCACACCGATGACCAATTTAACATATTTTGATCTCCGATCCAAATCAATTATGGACCTAAGATCCGGAACGTTTTGATTACTGAAAAAGGTTATTATCCTATTGTGAAAATAAAAAAACTCGAAGATTGGCGTAATAAGTCAAAGTTGTAACCTTTTTTACGATCGGGTGTTTTGTGGGCGAGACCATCGGAGAGATAACCGGCGAAAGAAGAGGAAGAGGAGGAACATGCCGGCAAGCAATCCATGCTGAAGCTTTTCTTCATTGCAGCAGCCAAAATCGACGGAGGAGGAGGAGGCGGCGGAGAAGAGCTTGTGGTGTCTAGATGAACACCAAAGAGCCTAATTACTCTTGTATGGTAAGAAGAACATGTTCTTGAGTTATGTCCTACGTTTCCACAGTGTGAGCATCTTCTGCCCATTGCAATGAATGAGAAAGAGAAGGAGGGACAGAGAGATAGAGAAAGAGAGATGATGTTGATGAATGATGATGAAGAGAGATTTTGGGGTTTATGTAAAATGGTGGAGAGCACAGAGAAATAAGATGATTGGATAAACCAAGTTTTATTTATTGGAGGGTTTTATAATTTAAATGATGTTGTCCAAGTTGGTGTTTTCTACTTTTAGCCAATCAGAAAACGAGCTTACGTATAAAAAACAAAAGAGGAAAATATGTCTTTATAAGTGGAAATTTATCACTAATATGGACTATAAAATGTTGATTCTAATCTAATTAATTTGTCTCACAAATATGAAAATCTTCATATATCTTTTACATAGTCTACATTTTTTTTTCCTCTCGTATAATGCTTTATAGAATCTGTGATTTGAAGAGAGAATGAGGTAGCCATAACAATAATGGAATCTATATGTATTAAATAATAATTAAATTAAGGATATCCTTTTGCAAAAGAAATATAGATATATGGTTGAGAGAGAGAGGACTTGGATCCTCCAATAGTTTTGGGGAGGTGGGTAGTTGGATGACCTAATAAAACTGTGGAAAATAAATATAACAAAAATATAGTTTACAATTTTGTAAAATATAGAAACAAACAACAAAGGGGTCTTGTTTACATGAACAAAGACAAGTCTTATTTATTTCTTATGTTTTGTTTGATATAAATAATGATATAATTTGGATCTTATAATGTTTTCAATATATTAGTTTGGACGGAAGAGTCATCATATACATATTTTTATTTAAAGATTGCCTGATTTGCTCAAATACATTGTAATCGATAATGTTATTAATTACTAGACAAAGCACTACCCAACATGCATTTAACTATTAATTGTTTATGGTTAAAATTGGTAAAAATCAATATGGAGATTATATAGGGCTTGATTGGTTCTCCCGCTAGCACCCTCCTAGCGGTTGCTAGCGGTCGGTTGTGGTTGTTAGCGGTTGGTACCAATCATAGAAACTGCTCCGTACCGCTTCAAGCCGTTCGAAATCGCTGAATTTCAAAAGCTCTTTCCCGCAAGCGTTTGCGGTTACGGGCGGTAGCGGTTGGATTTTTTTTAAAAAAATATCAAACGTTTACTTATAATTATTATAAAATATATTAATTCTATATATATCTTTCATCTTTGTATCACGTTCTCATCAGAAACCCTAACCAATATTCTAAAACCTTATTTTCTTAATGTCTTCCACCCAAACTGATGAAAATCAAGAACCAAACGTAAGTATCATATATCCTTTTATTCATTCATCACCTCATGTGTAATTCTTTGAATATTTTTTATGGCATCGTTTTTTTCTTTTCATTATGTATTGCTTCGCTTTTTGATTGAATATATGTTTCGATGTGTTTTCTCAAATAGAAAATCACTTGCTTTTTTATTGAATTCAACGTTATTTATAGTTTGTCCCATTACTTGATGCAATTTTTGGTGTTAACCCAGCATAAAGGACTATCTTATTACAAAATTACTTTATTTTTGAATAAATATTTAGTATTTTATTTATGGTTTTAATTATTAAGCATGTTCAATTTTTCTAATATTATCATAATAATATATTGGTGTTTTTATTTCTTTTTTTGTAATATTTTTTATTTTTTTGGTCATTTTTTATTTAACTGCTACCGCACCCGCTGGTTTACCAGTCATAAAACTCCCGCAAACGCATCCATTTTCAAACGCTAAACCAGTCATTCAAAACGCTTGGTAACGCTTGAAACCGTAACCGCTCGTTTCCGTAAACTCCCGCAACCGCAACCGCAACCGCAACCGCTGCGTTTAAACTAGTCAGGCCCTATATTGCTAAGTTCGGAATGAAGAGCAAGCAATGATGAGGATTCATATTTTTGATCATATAAAACAATATATATATATATATATATATATATAGTATGAATATATAATGGGGTACTCATCATATAAATTAAAGTTATATAACTTTAGAGTCGTATTATACGATCATTTCTAATTTGAATACTTAATGGGGATCCTGTTGATTCTATCCCACATAGGCACATACATATAATAATATGTTATGATGGGCTAGTCATGTTGATGTACTATGATAATCTATTTATGTTGATTCTGTCTTCTTCTACATACATAAAGATAATTTATGCGACTGGGATTCATTTTTAAGATTCAACATTAATAATCTACATTAATGTTGATTCATATGAGGACAATGATGTGGGGTTTCATATTTCATCACATAAATAATATATTATTGTTGATTTGATCCTACCAACATATATAATATGGATACTCAATTCTGGTCCAATGAAGTTTGTTTTTAGTGAGGTAGGTCAAAATTTTTTTAAAAGATTTACTACAAATAATCTAAAGATGTTGCTCACAATATCAAAATATTTTCGAGGAAAAAAAACTATCAAATTAGAACATTATGCAAATGCACTTCATCCACAATAACAGCACACAACACATTCTTGTGGTCGGTCTCTAAATCAAATTTTTTTGTACATACTTTTTAAACTAATTCAAACAATTTTGTTGATTTCTTGCTAGTTCTTTCGCTGGAAAACATCGATAAAACTCTCCCTCTCTCGTCTACCTTACCTGTTTTTTTCAAAAAAGCATTCCGAGGTTTTGTGACCATTCTTCTTGCAAAACTCGCACCATTTTTTGCTCCCGGAAACTTCTTCATCACTTTTAAACCTAAGCTTCTATTTGTCTGCCCACAAGATCTCAACAACCTCAATGCTTGTAAGGTCACTTGACGAGCGAATGATTGATAGAGACTCATGAAACCTTAAGGGAAACTTTAGAAAGCCTTTTATCAAAAAAAAAAAAAAAAAAAAAAAAACCGTAAGGGAAACTTCTGAAAAATCTTAAATATGATTTTATCATCAGGAATGTTGCTTCAAAAGAACTTTAACTGGTTCAAGCTCCATCACTTTCCCAATAAACTCATTAACACTTTCTTCTTACGTTATAACATTCTCATACATCATCCAAAGAGAACCCTTTTTCAGATTCAGAATCTTTCAGTTTCTCCAAATTATGCCTTCAAAAAGTTCCCATGCATGCTTCGACGAAGTATCTCTTGCTATCCGGAAACAGATCATGTTTTTTAACCGACATTGAAGCATCTAAAACATCTTTATGTCTCTTAACTAATTCTTCTTCCATAGGCTGATCCAAGTTTTCCCTCTCCCACATATCACGGGACATGAATACGTCTTCAGTTTGACAATCTCATAGTCATCCCCATTAAACACCAGAAACACCAGTTGCATCTGCATGACTGCATTAATTTGAGCCTCCATATCTATATGGTTCTTTCTTGTTCTGGCTGTTTCTGAATTAGCTCGTGATCCCTCCGTTAGAAATCTCAATTTAGAAGAGACAAATGAAGATGAAGTAAAAAATTACACACACCTTCTCTTCACAAAAGAAACAAACCCTAAACCCTAAAAAGCCAAATTTTTCAATTTCATGAAAATCTTCAAAAAGGGATCAAATTTCAACAAGATCAGAAGAGACCAAGCCCCAAAAATATATTCAATTTGTTTTTAATTTTTCGTTTTAACAAGCAAAACTAAGATTTCTAGTAAACAATGGCGCTATAATTGGAGAATGTCAAGAACTTAAAAGATCTGTGTTGCAACAGCAATAACCGGAGATACAATCTTGAGTTTGTGTCGGTACGAAACCGATACTAGCTACTCTGTTTTTCTCTGTTCTAAGAGGAGACAAAAATATAAGTCTCTGTTTTGTGTAAGACGTCTCACAATTACCAAAAATTGAAGTCCACAATTTATGCAAAGAATAATTTTATAGATGAATTAATCAGTTTCAAGAAAACTAAACAAAGCACCAGAAACCAAAACCAGAAACCAAAACCAGAACCAAAACCAAAACCAAAACCAAACAAAAACAAGTCATCTTCTCATAACAACTACTTTTTCTTCAAGTTATGTTTCTTCATAGATTCGATCACTTTTGTCATCTCATCCTCCTGATTCTCATAAGACTGGGAGTGTACTAACATCTGATCTTGCTGCTGCATTAACGTCATCATTTGTTTCTGCATCTGCATTAGCATCTTTTGATTCTGTTGCACCAACGAAAACACTTCTCTTTGTCTCTCCATCATCGCCACTTGGCATTGAGTAATCTCATTCAAAGAGTATAATATTTCAGCTTCTCCTTGAAAACTTTCTTCCACATTAATACTCTCAATGACCGATTCTTCAAAAGACTCTTGATCAGGTCTCATATTGTATTCATGAACAAGCAAGCAATCGATAAGGACACTAATAGAAAGTTTTTCTGCAACCTCCACTAAGACTTTATCGAATCTTGGAGGCAAAGAGGAAAGAATCTTCTTCACCAATACTTTATCTTCGACCTTCCACCCGCAAGACTTCATACGAAACACAAGCTCCAATAGTTTTTCAGTAAATTCATGAATCGTTTCCGCATCGCTCATTGTCATGTTGTTGTACTCTTTCTTCAGATCAACTAGCTTTCTAGCTTGAAATATAGGACCACCTACCGATCTCACCATTAAAAGGTCCCATGCTTCTTTTGATGATGTAGCATAAGCTATCCATGAAAAAACCTCAATGCTTAATCCACTTTGGATAATGGAAAGCGCGTTCACATCTTTCCATTCCATCCATTGTTTCCACAAGATTGAATAGTTTTCAGCGGCCGCAGCGGATGACGATGCATCATAACTTACTCCTTCGAATACATAAGACGGTGAAGGTACCTGCAACGGTTCTTGTTGAGTACCAGTCTCCACAACATCCCATAGATCATAAATTTTGAAAAGTGTTTTCATTTGGAGACTCCAATTCTCATAATTATTTCCATCAAACACAGGAACAAGAACCATCGATCCCATAATAATACTTACGTAGTTCAACGAGAACAATGATCTCTCACAGGGTAACTAGTATCACGTGAATCAAAATTATCTAGAAGGATTATGTCTTATATTATTGTGAAGAGATTACCATTGTATATATACATGGCTCGATTATACACATTCCTAATAAAAGAAGATACAAGATAACTCTAAATATATGTGAAGATTTATCCTAATCCTGATAATATCTACACACAAAAATATATTTTGTTTTGATTGGTTTACGTATTTAAGAAAATTATTAAAGTAATAAAGAAAATATAACTGTTGATATTTATTTGATTGCTTTGTTTGGATGGATTATATTTTAGTTTTATAATATAAAATAAATCGGATTGTTTTATTGTCAATCTCGTTTGACCTCTTCTCGTTATATATCCCAATAATTATCACTTTATTTTAAAATTTATCCCAATGAAAACAAAATATAAAGATATCCCAATAATTATCACTTTTATGATTTTTTTTTGTTGCACTTTCTCTTTATTATTTATATTGATTTTCTTGGATTCACATATACTAAAAGGCTAAAACTAACAAAACTTGACTAGCAAGGTAGTCGGCTACTATTACAAACACATGTATCAAGTTAACAACTTCTATGTTTTTTTTCTTGTCGTCACAGAGATTCCTCTGTTTCAGATGCAGAGTTAAATAAAATTTCAATAGACTTATACTAACACTTTCAACTTAATTATGATTTACATTCATGTTAACTACATTGAATATTTAAGTTCACATCAAAAGTAACAATTTTTGAGAGTTGAAACAAACATTCTATGGATAATACTGGCGTTGAATTACAAGCTGACATGAAGTTGAAGCCTTAGATAAAGATTTTAACTCCTTCACGATTTTTCGATCCTTCTTCTGGTGGTGGCGGGGACGGAAGCGGCTGGAGGAGAAATATCGAGAGATCTTAGCCGTGTTTAGACGAAGAGCGTTTCCCAAAATGTACACAGCAATTTCTTTATCTTCCGGTCTTCCTGCATAGCCTCGCCACTCAAGAGTTTCAAGATGGAAGGTCAAGCACTCAGGAACAGAATTCGGTTTAGGAACAAATCTCGGTTGATCCCTGACAGAACACGAAGGTTTCTGTGGAAACATTAAGGCATCTGAGTTAGGTAAAGAACATACAAATGAAAACTATTTAAGCTAATGTAAAACCGCGACGACATTTTGATTTACCTCGTTGAGCTTGAGAGCTTGTAGATTAGGGGAATGTTTGAGCAAACTCAGAATTTGATTCTCCTGAAGTCCGTTGTGCATATGCAGCTCAAGATAAAGAAGCCGGTGGAAGATTCTATCGGTAAGAACTATATCCTGCATGCCGGTAAAAAGAAAATACATATCTTCAAAGAGAGCCAAAGAGAAATAAAAGGATTGCGAGAAGAAAGATAAAAACTAAGATTTACCATTGAAGAGAAAAATTCAATCGAAAGACGTTCAACAGAAGTGAGACACCTCAGAAGGTTATTAATTTCATATGGATTTACTTCAACATGTGCCTCAACTAACTTAGGCATATCCTCAAAAAACTTAAACCAACCATAGCGAGCCGCGATTTTTAAGTATATCAAAGAAGGAACACTTATTTCAAATAACGTCCTGCTATATGACTCTTCACATATAGATAATCTCTGTAAGGAAGGGACAAATATGGTGAACGAAGGAAGACATTCATAGCGAACTCTATCTATGAAGAGATATAGATCTTCAAGAACAGGACAAACTGATAAAAGTCTTCTGAAAGATTCTTGGCAAGAGTATTTCACGCGTGTGAGGTGCAAAGTTTTCAAGGACCGGAAACAAACCGGCGGGGAAAAAACATCCACAAGAACCTTGTCTTGGAGTTTCATCACGACAAGTGTCTGGCAGACATTAAGATTCCTTGGGAAGCTGATACGACTCCAACTATAAGAAGTGATTGTGAGCTCATGAAGAATAGATTGAATATTTGATAACAGACGGTCTATATCATTAGATTTTTTCATAAGTTTGAGATTCAAACTCGTAAGAACCCGAGCTTCATGTGATGGCAAGAAGCTGCAACAAACTTCGTCAAATCTAAGGGAGCCAAGATTGCGACAAGAGTCTTCATCAAGATCAAGTGTTGGCATCATCTTCCACACAAACTTCCATCGTTTAGATAATAAGCTTGTGGAGATGGCATCGCTTGTAGGAATGAATGAGAGTATTCGTAAAAGCAAATCATCAGGTAAGTCACTAATCCTATCCGAATATGAAAACTCTTCACTTCCCAATCTTGGAGCATTCATCGCTCAATCGTTAGAGAAGTTAAACCCTAGTTGTTGTATTCTTTTAATCTTCCACTCTTATATATATAATAAGATATGCTAGTTAACATTAATATATATACTTTATAGATATTTTAATTACTATTTTGTTAATCTTTAATGAAGTTTCAGAAAAAAAAAGGAAAAAGTAAAATATACATTTTTTTTTTAAATATACATTATGTTCCATCTTAATATTATGTTACTCACATAGGAATGCATAATTCCTCTGTTCCACCGACTCTGTTTCTCTGAATAATTTCTTTTTCTTTATGCGTGTGTAATCAAAGAGTTTTGAATTTACTGTTAGTGTTACCACCTCCTAGAAAATACCATTTTTGGTAAGTTTAGCAATGATATCACCACTATGACATCATGCAAATTACAACATAATTTCTTCATATTAATTATAAAGCTTAAACCATGCAATACGATTTTGCTATTTGCGAGGGATTTGATGACCATTAGATGAATCTTAATTATTCACAAGATCCAAAATTGCATAATTTCATGATGGGAGAGAATGAAATAAGTAAAGTAGAGCTTAATCTATGCCTAAAACAAGTTTTTAAATTTTAATTATTGTATAATGTAGACACCAAAAGTTCAAAATACTTCATAATTTTGCAGACATTTACTCCTAAAATCAAGAATTCGTTCTACCTCAGACTCTACTATAAATAAACCTTATTTGAGATCATTGTAAATACAAGTTCACAAGAAAAAGTAACTCTAAACTCTCAAAGTATATATTTTTTTCTCTGCAATGGCTCAAAAAAACTCAATTCTTGTAGCTATTATTTTCTTTGGCTTGATAATCATGTCTTCATCGGCTAATCATATATCACATTCAAATAAGAAAGAAAACAAGGCGACGGTGATGAAAGAAGAAGATCCACAAGAATTGGCCAGTCACGTCAATGATGTAATAATCTTCCGATGTTTATTTAGATCAATAACAGATAATTCATTGTTTTACTTTCTAACCTTCATATGTAGCAATTAAACAAAGAACAGAAACTCCTCTGTTCCAGAGTTAAGGAAAGTCAAACGCTAATGAAATTTTTTAGTTTTTTACCAAGAGAGAAAAGTTTAATAATCTAATGCAAATTCAGATTCGAATAATAAAATTATCTCTTGCTAAAGTTGAAATAATACAAGATCAAGATGTGACCCATTACTAGGAGAGAGTTCTAAAATTTAACTAAAAGCTGACACATGTTTGAAGCTTTAGACATAGATTCCAACTCCTTAATCATCATCAGATCATTCTCTGTGCCCCTTGAATGCAGAGATATTGTAGCATTCTTCAAACAACGAGCGTTTTTCAGAACGTAAACCGCAGCTTCTGTCTCTTCAATTGTTCCTGCGTAGCCTATCCATTGAAAAGTCTCGAGATGGAAGCTCAAGCATTCAGGAACAGAGCTCGGTCCAGAGACTGAAGACGGTTGATCCTCGACAGTATAGTTGGGATGTGTCTGAGAAACATAAAAGGCATTGTATTAGATCAATTCAAAGCTCTAAAAACAGATTACTATGAAGGGGATGTTGTGAGAGTTTACGTGGTTGAGCTTGAGAGATTGTAGCTTAGGTAAATCTTTCAAAAAACTCAGAAGTAGATTTGACCGAAAGTTGTCGTAAATGTCTAATTCCAGATGAAGAAGTTGCTTGGAGATGAATCTATCATTAAGGTGAAAAACCTGCAAGCGAGAAAACAAAGTTAAAAAGCAAATGTTATCTTCAAAGAAAAACAAAAACCAAACTTGCGAGAGAAGAAAGATGTTGTTACCATTGAAGGATATAAATCTAGCGAAAGATGCTCAACCGAAGTAAGAGCTTTAGAAAGCTTCTCATTCTTTGACAGATTAACTTTAACACTTGCCTCCACCAACTTATCCATATCTTCAATAAAACTGAAAACACCTACGCGATCGAAGATATTTAAGTACTTCAAAGAAGGAGCAGTAATCTCGAGTATGGCTTCATCGTTAGAATAATAGCATTGTTCTTTATTGTAGGTTAATCTCTGTAGAGAAGGGACTGATATGGTGAACAAAAAACGGCCGACACTGCAAAGTCTTTGGAGGAAGAGGTCTTCAAGAACAGGACAGGCTGATAAAAGTTTGGAAAAAGATTCTTCATTCTTGAAATTCACACATTTGAGGTACAAACTCTTCAAAGACTGGAAACAAACCGGAGAATCAACAACATCAAGAGTAATATTGCCTTGGAGTTTCAAGACAACTAATGTTTGGAAGACATCAAGGTTGTTTGGGAAACTGATAGTACTGTAATAACAAGGATAATCAGTAGATTTGATTGACATCTCAAGGAGTGTGGAACGTATGTTTGGAAATATGAGAGAATCTAAAGAATCAGATTGGTTCCTAAGTTTGAGATTTAGGGTTTTGAGAAGTGGAGCTTCATGTAAGGACAAGGATCTGCCACAAAATTGGTCAAATCCAAGAGAACCAATATTGGGACAAAGGTTTTCATTGTATACAAGCCTTGGCAACATCTTCCACACAGATTTCCATCGTTTAGACAATAAACTTGTGGACATTGCATCGCTTACCGGGATTGATGAGAGTATTCGAAAAAGCAAATCGTTAGGTAACTGGCTGATCCTATCAGGATATGTAACCTCTTCCATCGCTAAATCGTTAGATCTGAAGGAGGAATATAAAAACCCTAATTTTTGGCTGAAGAGTAGAGGAATAGGCTACTCATTGGATTAGAAGGAGAAGAGATATGAAACCCTGGTTTTTGTTAATGGTTTTATTCTTTTTTTTTTTCATAAAGATAAGTTTCAATTTATTAGAAGGAATATTTCTTTCTTCATTTGTAATTTCATCATTTTTAAATATATTGGCAAAAAAATATGACACCAATTTTTGATAATGGTAGAATAAGAAAATTAGTGGAAAGATCTCATCTTAATTACTTCTCTTTGCTTTGTGTTAAAAACTACAGATTTGTTTCCATTTTTATTTTATTTTTGTTGAAAAAAAGAGATCTGTTTTCTGACAGAGATTTACATTCAATTAATCTCTGTAAAGTTTCAACCTTCAACATTTTTTTATCTTTGGTTAACCTGAAGATGCCCTAACTATCCCAATGCATGAGAGACTTAAATCGCAAGGCATCTCCGACAAATATCTTCTCAGAACCGATGTCAAATACGGAACAATACAGAGTAAGAAAACCCAAGAAGAATCATCTAGAAAATCAAAAGGCATAACTTTAAAAATCAGAAACTTCCAGTTCCAGATATAGAGACAAGTTGATATCTTTACTATGGACCTTGTGAAAAAAGTAAAACCATAACTATATAAGACGCCTGCAATCCAAAACCAAATAATTCAATGATCAGAACATTAGATAGATTCCATCAAATCTTTTTGAAAAAAAATCGGACAAATGACAAAAATCATCTTAAAAGTGGAAATGTTACAAACTGACATTGCACCTTCAGATTCAAATCAAACTTTAGTTTTCAGTGAGAGCTAAAACAAATTTTCTTTTTCTTGCTAAGAAAAAAAAAACAACAAATTTTCTAGGAAAAGTTGTCGAGTCGAATTACAAGCTGACATGAAGTTGAAGCCTTAGAGATAGATTTCAACTCCTTAATCGTCATCAGATCATTCTCTCCACCTCGAGGACCTTCTGAATATATATAGATCGAAGCGGTTTTTAAATGACGAGCGTTTTGCAGAATGTAAACCGCGACTTCTTTCTCTTCCTCTGTTCCTTCATAGCCTCTCCATTGAAGAGTTTCAAGATGGAAGGACAAACATTCAGGGACTGAGCTCGGTGCAGAGACTGAAGGTGGTTGATCCTCGATCTCTCGGGTATGACTCAAACGTTTCTGAGAAACATAAAAGGCATTTTAAGCTCTTGAAACAGATTACTAAGAAGGGAAAGTGCAACATTTTTCAATACCTTGTGAAGCTTGAGAACTTGTAGTTTAGGGGAATGTTTGAGAAAATGCAGAAGCAGATTACACGGAATTTTGTTGTACATATGTAGTTTCAAACGAAGAAGTCGATGAGAAATTCTATCCGCAAGAAGCGGAACCTGCACGACACAATAAATCATATAGTTACCGAAAGCATATAAATGCCAACTTCCAAATAAAACAAGAACGAGAAGGGTTTTTAGTTTTTACCATTGAAGCATATAAATGTATTGAAAGAAATTCTACTGAGATAAGCAATCTGAGAAACTTGTCAGTTTGAAAACGATTATCTTCAAGAGCAAGTCATCTGGTAACGAACTGATCTTGTTCGTTTCCATTAAACTCATGGCCAAGAGATGATATTGATATAGAGAGAAAAACATACTAAAAAGACTGAGATATTTTTGTATGAACGTGACTTAGGGTTTAATTTAAAGGACTCTCTACTTTTTGTATCCGGAATTTAAAATATACTAATTTATAATTTTTTAACAAAGATATGACAAATTTGAATATATTGGCAGAACAATAAAAGGCTCTGTTTGAACTTTTGAACCATGATCAATAATCCAGACAAAAGCCAATAAGTGTCCAAGATACAGAGCAACTATATAAGAAGCTTCTGATAAAAATCCAAAGTCTAACAGCTTTTAAATCTTTGGTAAAGAGATAACCACATTGTAAGCTCACATGCTCTTGATTTCCTTGAAGCAATTTCCAATTCTTCAAACATCTGATGTTTCTGCACCAACTTATCCGAGTCAGGGTAAATAGTTGCAGTCTCTAGTCTCCTCGCGTTCTTCAAAATATAAACCGCCACTTCTTTCTCTACTTCTGTTCCTGCATAGTCCCTCCACTCTAAGGTTTTGAGATGGTACAACAAACATTCGGGAACACTATTCGGCTGAATCCAACAAACCTTATGATCCTCGCACATCAAATGGTTCTGCAATCAATGGTAAAAGTGCATTAGACTTTTAAACTGGAAACCAAACATGATTGATAAAATTTGGGTTATAGAAGAAAGTACCATCGCAAGCTTGAGAACTTGTAGTTTAGGGGAATGTTGGAGCGCACTCGTAAGGATATTCGTCCAGTCACTTTCACATAAACATAGCTCCAAACTCACAAGCTGAGATAAAACGGTGCCAGTAGGATAAGGATACTGCATGTAACACAACACATGCAAAAAAGAAGGCAAGCAAAAGTTTCAGAATTTTTCGTTACCAAGAAAGATCGAAAGAGAGCAAGAAAATTACCTCTATAGGTAAGCATAGAGAAAGACGTTTGACACGGGTAAAAGACTGTAGAACCTTGGCTTGGCAGGACACAGATAAGAGATTTGCCTCAACAAGTTTAGGCATATTACCTATCAAGTTAAGTTGACCAAAGTAGTCCACAATGGTGAACTGCTTCAAACAATGGTAATGTACCACAAACAAATCATTCTCAGTTTCCAAGTCTTGCAATGTATTCCTAATGGAAAAACTCTCAAGGGAAGGCACATTAATAGTAAAAGTCGCCACACTGTCATCGTGACAAGTTTCTACAACCAAATCTTCAAGAACAGGGGAATTTGATACAAGCCTAACGAAAGATTCTTCATCTGCATACTTCACAAACAAAAGGCGCAACGTCTTGAGGGATTGAAAGCTAATCTGAGAAGGAACTTCCAAAAAAATCACCTTTTTGAGTTCCAAAGTCTCGAGTGTTTCACATCTAAATAGCCTACTCGGCAACCTTATAAGCCCATATTCATAACAAAAACCTATCGTCAGATCACGCACGAAACGATCAACTGCAATTCTAACCCATAAATCAATCTCGGAAGCGCTACATCCCGAAGCACGGTTGAGATGAAAACATTCTAGAACAGGCGCCTTATGCAATAACAAAGTCCCATAAACAAACTGTGACAAATTTATGCAATGATTCTCATTAGTCTTTGGAGTCTCATCCTCATCTTCCCTCTCCTCTGGGTAATCACCAAAGATAAGTCTTGGCACCAATGTCCAAAGAGACTTCCATCGTTTAGACAAAATGCTCATGGCCACGGCATCTCTTGTTTCGACTAATGACAGTATCTTGATGAGCAAATCATCAGACAATTGACTTATCCTGTCCATATGTTGTAATTACAAGCACAAAGAACTCCCCCAAAGCTTAAGTTTCTTTTTACAACCTTTCACTTGTCAATACCGTAATCTCGAACTCAAAGAAGAAAAGATGAAGACTTTACCACCTGATTTTAACCTGGAAGCAAGATGAATACGAAAGGATTGTAAAATCTCAAAAGGGTATCGGTTTCTCAAGCAAAATCAATTCTTTCAGGGATTGAGGAAAAAAATAAGTAGCAACTGAAGAAGAAGAGTGATAATCTATAGAATCGGAGAAGGTAAAAGTTTAAAAGTTGAAACAGAGACATACCAGTGTAAATGTAACTTCTCCTCTCACCGCTTCATCATTTGAGAACTGAGATAAACCCTAAATTCTAAATTAGTTTGCTCCAATGTCTTTTTTTTTTTTTTTTTTGCCAGTGCTCCAATGTCTTAAACTAACGATAAAGTGGAGAATTGGGTCTTATGGGTCAGTGAAATTATATACTTTTTTTACTTTTATTTTATTTGGGAAAACGGTATATTTCCCCACGAGAAGTATCACATCATAACAGATAGAGCCCAAACTATAACCGTGAGCTACTTATCCCCGAAAAAGCAGTTCTATATCTATTTCTCCCTGAAACAAAAATTCAATATCTAAATCTCCTCTAAGTAATAGTTCTAGATCTATAAACCCACAAGACTTGGTTTTATCGGTTTACTATTTATTTAATCGATTTTTTAAGAAACTAAACCCAATTATAACCAAAGAAAACCAGATTTCAAAATTAAATATGAATTATTTTTTTGGTAAAAAAATAAATAAATTATTATTATTTATTTTTATAAAAACACTTCCTCTTTTCTTCCTTCTTCCTTCTTCCTTCATCTTTGGACTCTGATTTGCTTCACCAGCAACAAAATACGATTTGTGTTTCAAATTCAATTATGAACCCAAATTCTAAATTCAATTATGAATCCAATTTAAATCGATTTAGAGAACTATGTTTATCTGTATCATAAAAATGTCAAAATTA